ATACACACTGCGTGTTGAAAGGCATTTTTATTACAAAATATATGGAAAATATTTTTTAAAATACATTTCAAATATGCTGTATGTCTAAAAATACAAAATCTACATTTTTGCATTTACAAATATATGTAAAAAATATACGTTAAAATGACTTTTTTATATTTATATTGGAAATACTACAATTTTGGCCATATTTATTTTTTATATATATATATATATATATATATATATATAAAAAAACACATTTCAACATACAGTATATATACACACACATATATATATATATACATAATACACACATACAGTTGCAAGAAAAAGTATGTGAACCCCTTGGGATTACGTGGAGTTTTGCATGAATTGGGCATACAATGCGCTCTGAACGTCATCTAAGTCACAACAATAGAAGAACACAGTCTGCTGAACATAATACTACACAAACATTACATGTTGCCATGGTTTAATTGCACATAACATGTAAACATTCACAGTGCAGGGAGGAAAAAGTATGTGAACCTTTGGACTTAATAATTGGTTGACCCTCCTTTGGCAGCAATAACCTCAACCAAACGTTTCCTGTAGTTGCAGATCAGACCTGCACAACGATCTGGAGTAATTTTGGACCACTCCTCTTCACAAAACTGTTTCAGTGTAGCAATATTCTTGGGATGTCTGGTGTGAATCGCTCTCTTAAGGTCATGCCACAGCATTTCAATGGGGTTGAGGTCAGGACTCTGACTGGGCCACTCCAGAAGGCGTATTCTGTGCTGTTGCAGCCATTGTTTTGTTGAATGACTTGTATGCTTTGGGTCATTGTCCTGTTGCATCACCCATCCTCTGCGGAGCTTCAGTTGGCGGACAGATGGTCGTACGTTTTCCTGCAAAATGTCTTGATAAACTCTGGAATTCATTTTCCCATCAATGACAACAATCCGTCCAGGCCCTGAGGCAGCAAAGCAGCCCCAAACCATGATGCTCCCTCCGCCATGTTTCACAGTGGGGATGAGGTTTTGATGTTGGTGTGCTGTGCCTTTTTTTCTCCACACATAGTGTTGTGTGTTCTTCCCAAACAACTCAATCTTGGTTTCATCTGTCCACAGTATATTCTGCCAGTAGTGCTGTGGAACATCCAGGTGCTCTTTTGCAAACTTGAAACGTGCTGCAATATTCTTTTTGGACAGCAATGGCTTCCTCCGTGGTGTCCTCCCATGTACTCCATTCTTGTTTAAATGTTTTCCTTATTGTAGATGTGTCAACAAAAATGTTAGCATGTGCCAGAGATTTCTGTAGGTCTTTAGCTGACACTCTGGGATTCTTCTTTACCTCATGCAGCATTCTGCGCTGTGCTCTTGCAGTCATTTTTACAGGACGACCTCGCCTAGGGAGAGTAGCAACACAGTGCTAAACTTTCTCCATTTGTAGACAGTCTGTCTTACCGTGGACACATGAACATCAAGGCTTTTGGAGATACTTTTGTAACCCTTTCCAGCTTCATGCAAGTCAACAATTCTTGATGGTAGGTCTTCTGAGAGCTCTTTTCTGCGAGGCATGGTTCACATCAGACAGTGCTTCTTGAAACCAGTAAACCCAAAACAGGTGTCAGCAACACATCCAATATCATCACACTGATTGGAGTCAAGGTTGACTCACTCCTGGCTCCAATTAGCTCTGGGAGAAGTCATTAAGCTAGGGCCTCACATACTTTTTCCTCCCTGCACTGCGAATGTTTACATGTTATGTGCAATTAAACCATGGCAACATCTAATGTTTGTGTAGTATTATGTTCAGCAGACTGTGTCCTTCTATTGTTGTGACTTAGATGACGTTTCAGAGCACATTTTATGCCCAATTCATGCAAAACTCCATGTAATCCCAAGGGGTTCACATACTTTTTCTTGCAACTGTATATGTGTGTGTGTGTGTATATATAAAAATATATTTTGAAATATATTGAATCGGCCAAAATTATAGTATTTCAAATATTTGTCAATATATTTGGGAAGAATATTTTAAAATAGACTTGAAATGTATTTTCCCTCCATGTGGGATACGGCTGTTGAAAGCGTCTTCTGGATAAACGGCGTCCGCGAATCTTCAGATCTCTTCCTGTCATGAAACTTTTTTTTTTCCCCCCAAAACACAAACACTGATGGTCTTTCGGGATGCATTCCGTCGCTCTCAGCGGCCAGTCAGGAAGTCCGAAGAATGAAAATATCTTCTTGTCACAGAGAAGCGCCTGGACGGGGAGATAAGGGGCAGGATGTTGTTGGAAAGCATCTCATTGGAGGACGTGCTCTGGGATTGGTCGGAATGCTTGATGGTGTTTTTTAGTCCAGTGGAAGCGAGACTTTGATTAACCGAATCTCGCCGTTTCCTGTTTACTGAACCGCAAATCTCCCGGCCAGGGAAATCGATTTATTTCCTTTTCTTCGCTAACCGCTGTCAATGCCGAGGATACACCGACAGGCCTGGGCGGTTCGATTCGCTCCAAAATCGAACAAAATTTTCATTATTTGGAAATTCGGATGTTTTTGAATTTTACAATAGTAGCAAATTTAAAAAATTCAAAATATTGAAACAAAATTTTGTTCGAAATCACAAAGGAACCAAATCAAATTCGAAACAAATTAAAAAACGAAATCGAAGAAAAAAATGTGAAATGTGAAACATGTTGCTGACTATCGCTGATTTCCTTCAAAGACTGTGTATTAGTGTAGCCGTCTTTAGAAACTCGGATTTTGAAAAGAATAGAATAAAACAATAGAACAGAAAATAAAATAATTGAATCAAAAGGAATATAAATAAAAAAGAATAGAACAAAAAAAAATAGAATAGAATAAAAAGAATATAGCCATCTTTAGAAATTCAGATTTTGAAAAGAATAGAATAGAATAAAACAATAGAATACAACAGAAAATAAAATAATTGAATCGAAAGGAATATAAATAGAAAAAAAGATTAGAACAGAAAAACTAGAAAAGAATAAAAAGAATGTATCCGTCTTTAGAAATTCGGATTTTGAAAAGAATAGAATAACATAAAACAATAGAATAGAACAGAAAATAAAATAATTGAAAAGAAAGGTATATAAATAGAAAAAGATTAGAACAGAAAAAAGAAATAGAATAGAATAAAAAGAATGTAGCCGTCTTTAGAAATTCGGATTTTGAAAAGAATAGAATAGAATAAACAATAGAACAGAAAATAAAATAATTGAAAAGAAAGGAATATAAATAGAAAAAGAATAGAAAAGAAAAAAATATAATAGAATAGAATACAAAGAATATAGCCGTCTTCCAAAATTCAAATTTCAAATAGAATAGAAGGAAATAGAAAAAAATATAGCTGTCTCAAAATTTTTTTTTCGAATGGAATAGAATAGAATTGAATGAATATAGCCATCTTCTGACATTTCGAATTTTGAGAAGAATAGAACAGAATAGAATAGAACAGAAAAAAAAAGATAGAAAGTAATAGAATAGAAACGAATAGAATAGATTTGAAAATATTAGAATAGAAAATAATAGAATAGAGAGAATACAACCGTCTTCTGAAATTCAAATTTCAAATATAATAGAATGAAATAGAAAAAAATATAGCTGCCTCTCAAAATTTGAATTTCTAATAGAATAGAACTGAATGAATATAATCTTCTGATATTTCAATTTTTTTTTAAATAGAACAGAACAGAAAATAAAAAAAATAAAAAAGGAATATAACAGAGAAGAATAGAATAAAGAGAATATAACCATCTTCTGAAATTCGAATTTCGAATATAATAGAATTAAAAAGAAAAAAAAACAGCTGTCTTTTGAAATTCGAATTTCAAATGCAATAGAATAGAATTAAAGTTTTGAAAAGAATAGAATAGAACAGAAAATAAAAGAATAGAAAGGCATAGAATAGAAAAGAATAGATAGAAATAAAATAATAGAATAGAAAAGAATAGAATAAAGAAAATATAGCCGTCTTCCAAAATTTAAATGTCAAATAGAATAGAATAAAAAAGAAAAAAAAAACATAGGTGTTTTTTGAAATTCAAATTGAGAAAAGAATAGAATAAAATAGAATAGAAAAGAACAGAATAAAACCGAATAGAATATAACATAGAAGAATAGAATAGAATATAGCCGTCTTCCGAAATTCGACTGAATGAAAAAGATTAGAATCGAAAATAAAAGAATAGAATAGAAAAGAAAGAAAAAGAATAATAGATATTTACAAAATCTCACCAAACTCTACCGAAAATCGCCGCATTCGTCTGAGTGGAGCCGGAATTTTTCAGTCATTGAATAATTGTGTTTTCTTTTTTGTTAGTAAATGATAACAGAGATATTCGATGCGTCCGTCTTGGACGCACATTGTTTTCAGCGCGGCTCTGCAACACCCGGCGCTCTTCTCTCCGCCGTTCCTCTGAGCCGCGATTATTGAAGCTCCTCTCTGATCGCGGCGCCCGAGCCTTTCAAGCCTCCCATTGGAGCGTTGGGGGAACATTGTTTCCGACTCTGGAAATGTCAGCGGGATAAAACCGCGGGAAGTGAAATATCATGACATTTGAGAGATTGCAGGAGGCGGCGCTCCTCTTTCTTGCTCGGCCCGCGGAAAGTGCGGCGAAATCCTTTTCATTGCCATTTTATCGCTGACTTAAGAGGGATATCACACGGAGCGCGAGGTCCCCGAGCGAGCTCCGCCCCTGAGATTTCTGATCTTGTTTATGACCCGGGATGGAGGGATGACCCCCCCGACTCCTCTCCCCCCCACCGCCGTCACAAGACGGGTTCCATTAAACTGCGATGCCGGGTCCACGGAACTGTCATGGAGGCCACGTGACCATTCAAAGGAACGATCCGCTTTACAACACGAACGTTCCTCGGCACTCAGTCCAGAGAATCAACACAGAATAAACAGGATGTAGAATATTTCCTGCATCTAAATGTATCTGAGCCCCTCTCAGTATATACTGTGTATATATATGTACACTATATTGCCAAAAGTATTGTCCCCGCCCTCTCAATCATGTGATTCAGGTGTTCCAATCCCCTCCATATCGTGTGATTCAGGTGTACAAATCCCCTCCATATCATGTGATTCAGGTGTTCCAATCCCCTCCCAATCATGTGATTCAGGTGTACCAATCCCCTCCATATCATGTGATTCAGGTGTACCAATCCCCTCCATATCATGTGATTCAGGTGTTCCAATCCCCTCCATATCATGTGATTCAGGTGTTCCAATCCCCTCCCAATCATGTGATTCAGGTGTTCCAATCCCCTCCATATCAAGTGATTCAGGTGTTCCAATCCCCTCCATATCATGTGATTCAGGTGTTCCAATCCCCTCCATATCATGTGATTCAGGTGTTCCAATCCCCTCCATATCATGTGATTCAGGTTTTCCAATCCCCTCCATATCATCATGTGATTCAGGTGTTCCAATCCCCTCCATATCATGTGTTTCAGGTGTTCCAATCCCCTCCATATCATGTGATTCAGGTGTTCCAATCCCCTCCACATCATGTGTTTCAGGTGTTCCAATCCGATCCATATCATGTGTTTCAGGTGTTCCAATCCCCTCCATATCATGTGTTTCAGGTGTTCCAATCCCCTCCATATCATGTGATTCAGGTGTTCCAATCCTCTCCATATCATGTGATTCAGGTGTTCCAAACCCCTCCAACTCATGTGATTAAGGTGTTCCAATCCCCTCCAAATCATGTGATTCAGGTGTTCCAATCCCCTCCATATCATGTGATTCAGGTGTTCCAATCCCCTCCCGTTGTGACCTGACATCTCACCCCCTGCATGGCATGGCTGTTCCTGGGGCTGCAGGAGGGATGAGGACGGGGGACACTCTGCTTGGATGGATGACAGCTCACAAGTAAGAACTTCTCCGTGGCCCCAGACTACGGACCTCTGTGCAGGGACACCCCCCCTGTGATGGTGTATCCCGGTGTGGCCCGCACCCCCCTAGTGATGCCACTGGCCAGCCCTCCAAATCATGTGATTCAGGTGTTCCAATCCCCTCCAAATCATGTGATTAAGGTGTTCCAATCCCCTCGCAATCATGTGATTCAGGTGCTCCAATCCCCTCCATGGACACAGGTGTATACAATCAAGCCCCTAGGCATGCAGATGGCTTCTACAAACATTGGTGAAAGAATGGGTCGCTCTCAGGAGCTCAGTGACTCCAAGCGTGGTCCCGTGATAGGTGGCCACCTGGGCAATAAGTCCATCCGTGACATTTCCTGGCTACTAAATATTCCACGCTCAACTGTTAGTGGGATTATAACAAAGTGGAAGCAACTGGGAACAACAGCCACTCAGCCACCAAGTGGTAGGCCACGTCACATGACAGGGCGGGGTCAGCACATGCTGAAGCGCACAGTGCGCAGAAGTCGCCAACTGTCTGCAGAGTCAATAGCTAAAGACCTCCAAACTTGGTGTGGCCTTCAGATGAGCCCAACAACAATGTGTAGAGAGCTTCATGGAATGGGTTTCCATGGCCGAGCAGCTGCATCCAAGCCTTCCATGACCAAGTGCAATGCAAAGTGTCGGATTCCGTGGTGTAAAGCACGCTGCCACTGGACTCTAGAGCAGAGGAGACATGTTCTCTGGAGTGACCAATCATGCTTCTCTGTCTTGCAATCCAATGGACGTGTCTGGGTTTGGTGGTTGCCAGGAGAACGGTACTTGCCTGACTGCATTGTGCCAAGTGTAAAGTTTGGTGGAGGGGGGATTATGGTGTGGGGTTGTTTTTCAGGGGTTGGGCTTGGCCCCCTAGTTCCAGTGAAGGGAACTCTCTTATGGCGACATTTTGGACAATTTCATGCTCTCAACTTTGTGGGAAGAGTTTGGGGATGGCCCCTTCCCGTTCCAACATGACTGCCCACCAGTGCACAAAGCAAGGTCCATAAAGACATGGAGGAGCCAGTTTGGGGTGGAGGAACTTGACTGTCCTGCACAGAGTCCTGACCCCAACCCCATAGAACACCTTTGGGATGAATTAGAGCGGAGACTGTGAGCCAGGCCTCCTCCCCCGACATCAGTGCCCCTCCCCCGACATCAGTGCCTGACCTGACAAATGTGCTTCTGGAAGAATGGTCCAACCTTCCCATAGACACCCTCCTAAACCTTGTGGACGGCCTTCCCAGAAGAGTTGAAGCTGTTATAGCTGCAAAGGGCGGGGCCAACTCAATATTGAACCCTACGGACTAAGACTGGGGGGCCATTAAAGGTCATGTGCGTGGAAAGGGCGGGGCCAACTCAATATTGAACCCTACGGACTAAGACTGGGGGGCCATTAAAGGTCATGTGTGTGGAAAGGGCGGGGCCAACTCAATATTGAACCCTACGGGCTAAGACTGGGGGGCCATTAAAGGTCATGTGCGTGGAAAGGGCGGGGCCAACTCAATATTGAACCCTACGGACTAAGACTGGGGGGCCATTAAAGGTCATGTGCGTGGAAAGGGCGGGGCCAACTAAATATTGAACCCTACAGACTAAGACTGGGGGGCCATTAAAGGTCATGTGTGTGTGGGAAGGCCGGCCGACCAATACTGCGGGCAATATAGTGTATGTATGTGGACATATTTTACTCTATTCTATTCTATTCTAAACAGAAGTTCAGTATTGGGGGCACTCTGGCCTCACCCAGGCCAGTAGAGAGCAGAGCTGGGTCACCCGCTGAGTTCAGCAACAGCCAGGCACCAAATCATATGCAGGATAAAGGTCAGAGGAAAGCAGAGATTGGCAACGTTCAGGCAACGTGGAGCTGTCACATCCCTGGTGATGGAGCCTGACATGGAGAGGAAGGCGATCTCTTACACCTGGTAAAGTGACAGGAGGCAGGAGAGCCTGGCAGTTCTGGTGATGGATGGGAAGTCTGTGTGCACTCGGATGCAGACTGATTCGTGATGCAGGGCAGCAGGCACAGCAGGCTGGTGGACAGGCAGCAAGCACTTGGCAGGCTGGCAGGTCACAGGCATCAGGCACTTGGCAGGTCACAGGCATCAGGCACTTGGCAGGCTGGCAGGTCACAGGCATCAGGCACTTGGCAGGTCACAGGCATCAGGCACTTGGCAGGTCACAGGCATCAGGCACTTGGCAGGTCACAGGCATCAGGCACTTGGCAGGCTGGCAGGTCACAGGCAGGAGGCACTTGGCAGGAACAGAGCAGCGGGCAGAAGAGTAGTCAGGTTTAGACTGGGATTGGCAACTGTAAGCAGACCGAAGGATCAGGCAGAGACATGGTCACAGAGCAAGCCGGGGATCAGTTCAAGCCAGGGGCGGACTGACTATTTGGAAACTCAGGCACTGCCCGAAGGCCCGGGGTCAGTAGGGGGCCCCATGAGATGCCCCTGGTACCTGTTTTATAGGCTTTTTTGAGTTTGGGCAAGGACACAGGGCCCCATGATCCCCTATTGCCCGGGGGCCCCATGAGTTGTCAGTCCTCCCCTGGTTCAAGTGTGATCAGATGGATCAAGTTGACAACAGGAGACCAAGTGCAGCAACAAGGTTTTTGGCAGGCAGCAAGCAGAGAGATATCAGACAGTTGAGGTGGTCAATGGGAAGGCAGTTGACTATTCTCTTGTGTCCAGCTTTATATTTTTAACAGTATTTAACTGCCTTCTAATCGGCCACCTGAACTGTCTGGTATCTGCTTGCCACCTGCCAAGACCTCTGCATGAACGTGACTCTCTTGTCTCCAACTTGTATTTAACTGCCTTCTCATCGCCCACCTCAACTGTCTGATATCTCTCTGCTTGCCACCTGCCAAGACCTCTTCTTTGACTTAACTACTTTCGTCTCCAGCTTGTATTTAAGTTGAAGAAGAGGTCTCGGCAGGTGGAAAGCAAAGAGATATCAGACAGTTGAGGTGGGCAATGAGTAGGTAGTGAACTACGAGTTGGAGACAAGAGAATAGTCAACTTCAAGCAAGGTTCTTGGAAGGCAGCAAGCAGAGATATCAGACAGTGCAGGTGGGCAATGGGTAGGCAGTTAAATACAAGTTGGAGACAAGAGAGTCACGTTCATGCAGAGGTCTTGGCAGGTGGCAAGCAGATATCAGACAGTTGAGGTGAGCAATGGGTAGGCAGTTAACTACGAGCTGGAGGCAAGAGAGTCACGTTCATGCAGAGGTCTTGGCAGGTGGCAAGCAGATATCAGACAGTTCAGGTGGGCAATGGGTAGACAGTTAAATACAAGTTGGAGACAAAAGAGTCACGTTCATGCAGAAGTCTAGGTAGGTGTGGCAAGCGGATATCAGACAGTTCAAGTGGGCAATGGGTAGGCAGTTAACTATGTGCTGAAGGCAAGAAACTCACGTTCATGCAGAGGTCTAGGCAGGTGGTAAGCAGAGATATCAGACAGTTGAGGTGGGCAATGAGTAGGTAGTGAACTACGAGTTGGAGACAAGAGAGTAGTCAACTTCAAGCAAGGTTCTTGGAAGGCAGCAAGCATAGAGATATCAGACAGTTGAGGTGGGCAATGAGTAGGCAGTTAAATACAAGCTGGAGACAAAAGAGTCACATTCATGCAGAGGTCTTGGCAGGTGGCAAGCAGATATCAGACAGTTCAGGTGGACAATGAGTAGGTAGTGAACTACAAGCCGGAGACAAGAGAGTAGTCAACATCAAGCAAGGTTCTTGGCAGGCAGCAAGCAGAGCGATATCAGACAGTTGAGGTGGGCAATGGGTAGGCAGTTAACGAGCCGGAGACAAGAGAGTAGTCCCGTTCAAGCATTGGTCCTGGCAGGCAGCCATCAAAGGGTGGTTAGACTGGCCAGGCCGGCAACAAAGAAGGCAGAAAACTAGAATCGTAATAGTGATCTAGCCCTGGCTCACTGGTGGCTGGTTAGAAGATACAACATGGGCCATGTCAAGAGAGGAAGCCCTCAATACCCTCCTGGTCAGAGGACACACCCTTCATTATTTCAGTGAATTCTGGAAGTCCTGACAGGGATTCTGGAGACCAAGGCAAGGATTCTGGAGACCACGGCTGGGATTGTGAGCGTACTTCAACTGGCAGGAGTAAAACTGGAAAGCGGACATGGAACAGACTTCGAGCAGGAGTTAGCTGACACCAAGAGGTCTATTTATATTTAAAAAAATTGTTGGACCGATGTCACAAACATTCGCCCAACCATGGCGAATTCTGACCATATTTTGCCCAATCAGTTGATTCCTCTGATTGGCAGCTCCATCTAGTGGCCACAATGTGGTATTCTCCACCACAAAGAGAACTCCAATGGGGAGGTTCATTGAAGTGAGGATTTCCCTCATTTGGGACCTGCTTCTTCTCAGTTCCTGGTGCATCTAGGTCACAGGAATTGAAGTGAAATCTTCCTAAGGGGGTACGGGTAGCAAAAAAATAAAAAATAAAACCCACACATGAGGCTTAACCCGTCCTTACTCTACAAAAAACAAAAAAAAATGGCTTTAGATATACTTTGAGTTATCCAAAACCTGTACACGGA